CTACTTGGGACAAATAATAAAGATTAATAATGAGTTGGATGAAGAGCATCATCATGTATTTTTAATTTCTTGTTCAGTTCCTTAAATAACTGTTAGACGGAAATGCACAAAATAAGATAAAAAACGTAAACACTGAAACAATAATTTACATAAAAATAGGGAAATTCATAGCCACTGCAGGTGAATTCGTGTACTTATGATCTGAACTTAATTTAATTTAATTTAATTTAAGTGCAGGGATAATAATACACATAAAGATGGGGGAATTCAGAGCCACTGCGGTAAGTTTTGTGTAAATTAAACTTGGATTAAATTAGATGTACAGCAGAAACATTTCTGGGATAAGGGCATTTCGTTTTGTTAAGCTGTATGCCTTTTATCCTGGCACCGCAACTGGACCTCATCAGTGTAATGGTTGCAACAAAAAATTGTATTTTTATATATGAAATTTAAGTTATGCTGTGCGGTTCTCAACCTTTTTTTCGCCGTGACTCTCTTTTTTAGTGATTTTTGCGTTGCGGCCCCTTTTTTTTTAAATACCTTTTGCCGCCGTGGCCCAGCGAGACTTAATTGAAGACTTAAAACACTGGACTTCGTCAAATATTTATTTCAGTTTTCTTATGAAGAATCCTCAAATTTTTTTTGAGACGGAGAAATGAGTTAATAATCTGTTAATATACACACAGCCTATTATGATACCTTTTTTGCAAGGATTCTAAATGAATTTAAAATGATTTAATTAGCGCTCTTCTCGCTCAAATGGCGCTTTGCTGGTATTTCAACACACTAAATGCGAATTTGTTGCCGATTTTTACATTCAAAATTTGATGAAAATTTGATACAATTTTCACTTTGTCTGTTGTTCGTCTGGTTTCGCCCCCCCCCCCTCCAATAACCATCTTGCGGCCCCCTGGGAGTCGCGAATCCCCAGGTTGAGAGCCACTGCTGTACGCTATTAGAATTTCTGTTCGGTTTCTTAAATTGTGCAGCCAAGCATTCTAAGACTTCCTTTGGCAGTTTTCATTAAAGCAATTTTTCATTGCAGCTTACGATAGGGGCATTTTTTTCAGTTCAGCGCTGAAATATTGTCATTTTCCGGGCTTAAAATTCGCAACGTTCAGGAGCCGCTTTCGTTTTCTTCGTCTTTTTTCCCCTCTCTGAAGTTCGTTCTTTACAAAAGGGCACCCCACTGACTGGTTTTGATCGTCCATGAATACCCTTTTTTTTTCAATGATTTATTGCTTTTCGAACATCGAAGAATTGATACAGACGCATTGTGTGCAGGAAATGAATTGATTTCGACCGCTTGCATCGTTGCAGTTTTGTTCTTTTTGGCGCAAAATTTCTAAAAGTCCAAAAAACGTGTAATCAATTAATCGAATAATTAATTAACTGAAAATAACATGATGCACCAACCCATCTTCAAGTATTTAAGTACTTTATAGAAGCCTGTCTTGTCTCGCCCTTTCTTCCCGCTCTACCTCTCTCCTTCCTCCCTCGGTTTGAATTTAACATTATAC